TCACGCCGGGCACGTGTGCATGCGTGCCCAAGATCCCGAGATGATTTCTCGCCTTCTATCTCTATGTCTCTCTCTGCCTATCTAGCAAGCGCACGCGCCCTATAGCAAAAACCTCTCCAAAAAAAAAACTTGCCATAGAACATGTTGCTCTGGCTGGAGGGAGACCGAGGGAGAGCACCCCAAGGGCATGGCCACGCCTCAATCCGCTTCTCCATTCTTGGGATTTTGGACACGCACGTACACACAGCCAGTGTATGTTTCACACTGCCGTGTCCAGGACTTGAACCACGCCGTCAGTTGTGTGGGATCCATCTTCACTACCACACCAGCTGGCCCAGGTACTGGAGTTTCCACGTAGCTCGTTCTTACCCTGACCTTGTAGCATAGTGGGCAGTTGTAGTAAAGCAGGTAGCTTCCATGTGTCTTTGGTGTCCAGGTTATGGTAAAGGTGCGGTATTTTATCGAAGGTGATCAGACGATAACTTCTGAGCTCTGTGTCGAGGTTTTGGAGTGCTTTCACTGTTCGCTTGCTGGAGAAGATTGGACACGTGATATTACAGACATGCTCACTGAGGGCCAGCCTGTGGCACAGTGGTTGAGCACCACACACGAGGAACTGCTCCTCATCGGCTGGCTGAGACTCAGATCCCAGCCCCGGGGACTTCCTGGACAGGTGCATGTTTCATCCCAGGATCCTGATGGGGTGGAAAACGGAAGAGGAGGGATTGCGGCCTGACCGTGCCCTGTTGGGGCTGCATGTGCTTGCTGTCACGTGCATGCACCCTCTGGCAATCAAAAAGAGAGGCTTACTAAATTATTTTCCCTGTTAGTAGCAGTAAACTTTTTTCTTTTGTCTTAATAATTATTTGATTTAATATTTATTATTTATTTTAATTTGACCAGAGAGGGACAGAGAAAGAGAGAGAGAATAAGTGAGAAACCAAGCTGCCAGGCTGGGACTACGGTTGGCCATGTGGGAGTCCAGCACCCTCAACCGCTATGCCACCTGCCAGCCCCAGTAGCACATAAATTTTTAGAAAGTTACAAAACACAAGAAAAGCAAAGCAAAGTCCATTCCACCCTCCGGACGTAACTACTACACTTCGTTTTCTAGCCTTCGGTGTCCGTGTGAGAAATGCTGCTGTTCTGGGTGTCGGCAGTGTTCGCTCACTTTTTCTCTCTCCACCATCTAGACCTACGTCTCAGATTTTGAAAATGCTTTGCGCGAGTGAGTGTTGTGATGTATTTCCATCTTTCATTCTTTTATCTCTTCCATACTCTGCCTTGTGGTACTTAAGAACCCCTCGTAGAAGTGTGACTCGCATCCCCAGGCTGATTGATAGCACGTGCTCACCTGTGACGGCTTCCAAGCTTTAGAACCGAGGTCGAAGTCTTCCCTGGAGCTGTTCGAGGGTTAGGTGAGGTGACGCGGACAGGGGCCTCGAAAGTCTCTGACCCCAGAGCAGCTGGCCAGTGCTCCTTACCAGAGTCCGGGGCTCACGCGTGGCGTTTCTTTCCTGCTCGCAGTGGCTCTCGTCCACCATGCATCGGAAGAAAGTGGATAACCGCATCCGGGTCCTCATTGAGAATGGCGTGGCTGAGCGGCAAAGGTCTCTGTTTGTTGTGGTCGGAGATCGAGGGAAAGATCAGGTAAGGCCCGTGAGGGCTACACGAATGAGCCCATGTCCTATCAGTGGCCTGTACAGAGTCCGTGGCGACATCAAGCAGCGTCCAGTGGGACTCTGGCCTTTATTTCTTGAAAGTGGCACATTCTCTTTATTTAGGCTCATTAGCAGACAGACTAAAACCTTTCGAAGGCTGGCGTGGGGGGTTGGCCACAGAGGTCTGTGCGTGTGGCTTGGCTTGCCCCCCCCCCGTAACTGCTTGCCTGTGACCATGGGCACGTCCCTTCCCTGGGCCCTGGCCCTGCTCAGTGTCCGTATGTGTCAGACGAGGCCTCGGCTGGCCCTCGCAGGCTCCCTGGGCTGCAAGGTCTGCGACTTCTCTGGCAGGTGGTCATCCTGCATCACATGTTGTCCAAGGCCGCCGTGAAGGCCCGGCCCTCTGTGCTGTGGTGTTACAAGAAAGAGCTGGGCTTCAGCAGGTGAGTGGCTCTGGTCCCGTTGTACTCTGAAGCCATTGCAGGAATG